AAGTGTATGGCTTCCGAGATGCAAACCCTCCCACCACGTTCAACCTGTCACTCATCAAGCGCAGTGGTTTACAGACAGTTGTATATAATGTTCCAGGTGAAGGTGCATGATGTTACCTCCCGCCAGCCATGAGCTCAGTGACAATACAAAGTTTAGGCCAACATGAACACGCTCCGATGAATTGCACTAGATTTTTGTGACGTACAAGTCTGCAAAAAGAAACGGTGTGTTTAGTGGATGGATGGAACAAGATGGAACACGATGAAGTAGAGCTTTCAGCAAATATAAGACGTTCTAAACTTAGAACGGAGATAAACAGAGCTTTGTGGTATTCAGTACAATTTTCTAAAATTCATAGACTTCAGGCATTGAGGTGAGGTAAGCCTGGCCAGTAGACGACCAGTAAATTTGGAAAACATGCTGACCTCAACATTAAGCAGGTGTAAGATGTGATAAATTTAAGACACCGATAGACAGAACCTTGGTACACAGCTAATGAACTTCAGACATTGTGGTGAGAAGAGACTGGCCATGTAACCGTCCAAGGACATTGAAAACTGCTGATCTCATTATTGAAACCTCTTGCTTGAACATTTGCAGTAGTTCCACAATAGGAACATAGCGAAGTGTCCCTGACTCATTCTTCACGTTAAGTTCGATAGATTTAATAGCTATATCTTGACTCAAGTACTGTCCTCTGTACAGACGACCAGATGAACCACCCCCAAGCCTTTCACCAATTACAAGCTGCAAATGGCAACGAACGTCGGATCAGTGTACTGATCAGTAATGAACCAGAATCAGCGGGCATTCGGGATCTGCCCCGACACAGTTTCTTCGAACGCTACACGAGTTTCTCCGTTACACCATTCGACGCTAGAGACACATGCAAAATTATGTAAACGTTCTAACATCAACACCAATGTCAGAGTAACAAACAATCAAACGTCTTCCACTCGGTGAAAGATACGTTCACTGAGAGGACTCACATGGCAAAAGTTTCTCACAGGACAAATTTCTCGTTGACACAAGATACCTCTCCTCGGCAGTGCCATACGCATATGAGCCAGGGCATCTATATACTGCGAATCCGGGTGACTACAGAAGCGCTTGAGGCGTAAGACAAAGCGCTTAAGACGCTCTACACGAAAACTTGATCGACACAAGCAGAGGAAGTCCAAGTCTCAGAAGCTAGCAACAAACCTGGAAAAATCCGGAACCTCAAGAAAAGCTATCAAGAATTTGTGAGACGCAAAACACCTGATCCTGTACCGACGCTCAGTTGCTCACTCTCGCTCGGCGCAAATTCGACCGGACTGGACCGGATCCAACGTGGACGAAGAGGAACTCGAACAGGAACTCCGGGGCTGACGAACAAGAGGAGTAACTCGAGCGGGAGAGTGAGATGCTCTGATAGACAAAAACTGTTGTATAAATATTCTCTTCAAGCCAAAACTCTACTACAGGGAGTGCTCCGTGTCAGTTTCTTATTGGATGATGACTTCTTGATTAGGTTAGGCTCCGAATCCTGCCCATTTTAGTTTAGGCGCCTAAACTGGTGGGTGTTTAGGTCATTTAGGCGCCGACATATACGGTCGCCTATTCGAACCATGCTTGGCCATATCGTTCAAAGAAGCGGTCTCTGTACACTTCTTCATAGCAACCTCCCCATGAAAAACCTCTCCAACTGCATGGGATGCAACTCTGACAAGTCATCTCGTCACGTCCCATGAACTCCAAGGATGACGAATATCTCGCTTGTCGCCTCCAGCCATTGCCACTAACATTCCGATAGGCAATGAGCTAACAAGTGGTGTACTAACCACCAAATCAACGCGCAAACGGCGTTGTTCAGCCAAATCCAAGCTCACAATCCACGTCAAGCAGTTCATGTCCATAGCTTGACCCAAAACCTGACGACGCAAAGCCTCTAAAACTGAAGATGCTGCGGTCACACCAATCATAAACCTCATCGCACGCTCTCTCTCGTCAGCGTTGGGCTCCACCAACTGATGTACTGCAAAATCCCAGAGTAGCCCAAGTCCATCATCACGATATGCATGTGATGCTGGATAACGAACCATCGTGGGTAAAGCCATCCAAGGCTGACCTACGCCGTTTTCCAATGCCACAGGTGATATGTCAGCCACTGTCACCACCTGAGAATGTCAAAAAGCATTCAAGATACTGTCAACGATGAATGTAGGATCACGCTGCACAGAATCATAGGCATAACGCAATATCTTTCGGAGCAAAAGGTTGGTCCACCATAAACGTACACGATGAGCACGTAATCCAACCTTCGCAGCCTCCAACAATATTGCTAGTCCAATCCATGCTCGGACCTGATGGACACTCGCCATCAATTGGGCCCGAGTGTCACCGAAGAATGGTACGTTCTCTAGAATGTATGTTGGAGAACGTGTCAACTGCACATGGAGATGATTTAATACTCGCAACATCTCCCAAAACATCCGAGATCTGGGGTCATGCAACCTTGTTCCATGTCTAGCGCGTGTGTGTCCCTAACATGACCATCCCGCAATCACCATATCAATATGGCCAACTCGGTCAAGGTCTGGCGCCCCCAACAATGAAATGTCTGAAGTCAATGCCTTCTGGTATCCTCGAACAGCTGATCGTGACAACAATGAAGCAAAACGCTGCATCAACTGTGTAATATGTCGTGAAGAAACTTGACGTAGAGTCTCATCCTTCTCCACATATAAGTATCTGCGCATGGGGATATCTAACTGCAACATTGCATCCAAGTTGGTGCTGATCCCACAAAAAAGATCCAACACACAAACATCATGTGGAGAATACTCCCACGCGATCGATGTAATAACCAATGGGGACAGTGCGCTAGGACCACCAACTAGCTGATCACCTGAAGACCTTTCTGCCTCTGTTGGTAAAGAGTCTTCACCCCAAGCCTTCTTCACCAACCTCTCAGCCTCCAACTGTAGTGCCTGACAAGAACTCCAAAGTGGAACATCTAAGGGTGAAGACACCGTCGCTGCGAAGCTCTCAACCTCCTCTACATACTCGTAGACTGAGGTATCGTCGGCAGACATATTCCCCTCCAACAAGTCATCAGGCCAGATAAGCACTCCAATAAAATCCGCCACGGATGCCAAGACCGTAGATGAAGATCCAAGAGGTCGATCTTGATAAATAAATTTCATCGGCAGCTCGCTCAGACGTCTTGGAGTGAAAATAAACGCGGTTTTTTCCACTGGAAAATGCATCGGTTTCAATTACCCCACTGGCTGGAAAACCTTCACAAACATAAGTCGAGCCCAACCCACTCCAAAGAGACTCCAGGTTGACGCTTACGGGCAGACGCACAACTCCCAACGCTAACAGGCTCGACTGGAAGAACTTACGTTCTTTGAGTCACCGTCGACACTATAAATATCAGAAATGAAACCCTAGGCCGACTGCTATTTTTAGTAAATACAGAGTTACATGACATTAAATTCTTCCTATCTTAACATTCAGTCAAAATTGCGTAGCCAAGGTGTAGCAAATGTTTTTTTATAAATACTAGTACATATGATGATACATAGATTCGTAGTATTTGTATATCTAACTGACTCCCCATTTGCTGATTCCTTTCGTAAGAAGAACTTCATGGAGTATCATATGATGCACTGGTAATATAGAATTGCACCTTTATGGCAGAAGAATTGATAATATAATTTCAGTCCAAAAGAGAAGTTATAAATATTGTAGAAATGAAATTTTTTTTCCCAGAAAATGGAACAAAAATGTATAAATATTACATATCCAAATCAGATTAATCATATACCACACAACTCACTCTCAAAAACGCTTTTCTACATAATATCAAATGATGTATTGATTTTAGCGTCCACCTGAAGGAATCTCAAGCATGAGAAGATCCACGAGATTGAGTCACTAATTGAAGCTATTTGTAAAAACGTTGGCAAGAAGTAATAAGACTAGGTTCTAGGGTTCAATCGAACTCTATCTACTATAAGGATCTCCATACCATACTTGTCCTTACCGACTGAGCCCCGGGCTTGTATCTTCAAACATAGACCGCAACCAGGTAAAGTTTCTCTCTTTTCATTCTTGTTTATGCTAATATTTTTTGGGTATATGAACCGTGGCCATCCATTAGATTCAATTTTAACACCAATGTTGGTAAAGGAATAGTACAAGAATCATCATAATAACAAACGAGAATCACACACCAATGTAAGTGTTCACCTTCCCATAGGCGTTAAATTGAGATAAAAGTTTAGTGAAACTGAAGCTAGAATGTTGCATCAAGCCTCCATAACTTAACTCTCCATTATCTCTCCCAGCAGGTGTACATGTTAATCCTAGGGTTAAGTATCTCAAAGTCTAACTAGAGTCCAAAACTAACTACTGTTAACAAGGCTCTGATTTATTTACTTGTAAGGAAAAAATACACAAATTCCCTATGTGATCCAGATCTCACGGAGAACATAATGCGAATGAGAATATTTCAAGTTACTGCTTATCAAATAATTGTGGTAAAAAATTGTACCTTCTCCCATAATTAAGCAGCATTTTTACAACATTCTTCCGTTTCCATACTTATATATATTGTGTGTTTAACTTTCTTTATATTCAGGATAAACAATGTCGTGAAACTGAATTCCAACAATGTTATAGTTTCATATAAGTATGGTAGTGAATGATCAATCATGCCACGTAAATCCGAAGGTTGCTCCTGCTGGCGTAGGCAACTTCATCAGACCTCATACTTCTTGTTCACTTTGGTGTTGATGATACATTTTTGCAGATTCGGATGACTCGCCAGACTTGATGTTTTCTTTTCATGGGCTTGGTGCCAGAGGATTAGGAAGAAAGATGGAGGATAACGATAAGTTGATGGTTTAATTCAGCTCCTGTAGGGTGGCATAAATGTGACTTGTGCCTCAGTAAACTTACTTTCACGAAAATGCAATAGGAAATCGCGTATTACATAAAATGATTGCCCTCAACTTGAAAAATGATCATCTGGTATTCATTTGACTTTGGAAGCGAGAAAAACACCGGAATCCTGTCTAACACATGATGAGCCCCAGGCTTACCACCAACATTACCTAAATTGCTGCCGATGATGATACCTTATGACAAGACTGATATATACCACGATTCGAGTTCTCCTTTCTAAGAAAACTTCTAGGCTTGAATGGCTGGCACAATCCCCTGAGAATTTTATCGGGAACAGTGTAGGATATCGAAATTCGCTCTGAAAACTATGATTTCAGATCCACCATGATCAGATTAACTATCTCATAGCAGATGTTTAGAAGAAAAATGAAAGGTGAAAATCTCACTGCAACGTTTCCAAATGGCAGCATATTGTACATGTCGAAGAGTTGCAGTTCGGGGACCACCTTGGCTGCTACAACATTCACTTGGATTAATACACTGCACAGGAGCTGAGTTTGAACATCTACAGGATGATATAAGCAAAGCATCTCGCATATATGAGGCATGAACCAGATGTGCACGTAGTAATACAGTTGATATACAATGACCTGATGACCTGCCTAAGATTTGGTGGACGGCTTCTTTCCCAGCTTTCCGAGCACACGATCCTTCCTGTTTTTGGCGACCTCTTTAACAAGATCTTTTCCAACTTTTGCCACTTCCACCACAATTCCTGATCTCTCCTTAGCCTTTTCTTTTTTATCATGGGCCCAGGTTCTAAGTTTAGACCGCGACTTCCCATCACCTCCTTCCGAATAAGAATCAACATTTGAACTAAGGACAGTTCCTGTGTCCGGTTTAGTCGACCACACTGGATCTCCACTCGGAGACCACTCGTTGCTGCCTTCATACTCCTCAGATGGAATATGTTGGGATTGCTGCTGAGAATTCTGATGAGAAATTGGTTTCGAAGGCTGGTGAGAAGGCGGGTGAGAATAGTGATGGGACTGGTGGTGAGAAACTGGTTGGACAGTCTGAAATGCATTCACATAGCGGTGAGTTGGAACGGGTTCGGGGTTCATCATATACCCTCCTCCATGTGTTTGGTATGTGCCTGGACGCAAATCAACTGGGTTGGAATATCCTGGGTATGCCGGAGGAGGTGGCATGAAGTTGGTGCTGATCGTTTGACTTCTTGGAGGACCTGGAGTAGGGCCCGGGGAAAAATAAGCAGGAGGACCAGGTGTACTGCTCGGCACTCCTGGTGGTCCTGGTGAAAAGTACGATGGAGGACCAGAAGCACTTCTCTCTGGCATCCAGCCCGGGATCTCTTGACCCTGATGATAATTGGCAGTACCTGGCTGATACGGAGAAGCTGTAACATGTTCATTGTACTGAGAATAGCTGCCGCCGGTCATGGCTTCGTATGGAGCACCTGGAGGCAAGTCAGATCCTCGTGCATGCGTCCAGTCATTGCTGCTAGATGGTGTCAGGAATGGAGTCCCTGCATCAAAAGCCATGAAATAATTGATAAGACAAACTTGGAAAGACAAACACTGCGCAAGACAGGGAAACGGATGTGACGATGAGTTCCAGAGAATCAGAGAGGGAGTATAAAGGTTTTCATATCGACATCCAAAACTCGATTCAAAATACGTTTCTTCTGAACAATTCACCTGAGCCAGAAGTTGAGCTGTTTCTTTGCAGTAGCTCTGCATGGACGCTGTGATGACTTCCCTGCCTTTCAAGCTCCGTTCCAGTGAGAGTGATATCTGTCAACTTTTTATTGGTTTCCAGCATGGTCATCATCTCTCCATGAACTTCGGCCTCGAGGCCCTCGCTTTCTGTTAGATCCAACGCTTCCAGGCTTGTATTATCACGAAGAGATCTGAAAATCACCTGCCACTCCTCCTTGCTGAAATACGTACGGTTCAAAGAGAGAGCTCGGATTCGACTCATTTCCAGGATTTTAGACACCACTGTAACCAGCCCTTTCTCTCTACCACCGCATATACCCAAATTCTCCACAGTGCTGTTGGGTTCCAGCTGTGTTGAGTTGCTATCATCATCTTCAGAAGGCTGAGGAACAAACGCAGACAGGAGCATGTGCAGAGGGCCCTCTGCATTCTCATCCTCCGTTTCGAAGCCAACAAAGAGGGACCTCAGCGATGTATTCATTCTCAATGCGATCGACAGGAGAAAAGCACCCTTGATATCCATGCCCGTGCCGAACATACGAAGATGACGAATCCCATTCGAGTTCTCCGGATCGGCCAGGAGCGTGGCCAGATTCTCAGCACCTTCATCTCCCAAGCTTGGGTTGAAATTGATGTCCAAGGTATGCAGGCTACAATTCTCAGTCCTCCGCATAGCAGCTGCCAGATAGACAAGGAAGTCGGGCTTCATATCAATGGCGTGGAGGTGTAGCTCTCGCAGGGTGGGTATCTTGACCAGAAGCCTGCACAGATGGAGACATCCCACTTCAGTTCCAAAGGCGCCATTACCCCCGAGGTTGAGCATTTCCAGTCTCTGGCTCTTTGCCAATCCCAGGCAGAGATCCTGAGCCTCTTCTTCTTTGTGGATGGCGCAGCCTTCCAAGTCGATGTGGGTGAGAGTTGGGCAGGAGCAGATGAGGTTCAGGATAGCTCTTCTGGTTTGCCACCATGTCTGGTCCTTGCTCTCGCGAGTGAAGTGAGGGAATGTGAAGAAGTCACCAAATTCTTCGACGTTCAAAGTTGACAGACGAGGGAGGACGGTGATGGTCGGTGAATCGGCTGACAGCTGAAGAATGAGATTCACAAGGCCCTTAGGAAGAGTCTTCAGGTCCTCTGGGAATGGAAAGGAGAAGGTCTCTTCACCTCCAGATGCAATCACACTTTCGCTACTCGTCACATTATCTGCCGCAATAAGCACAAAATGCAATCATGAGTTCGACGCGCAAATGAACATCCCGTTAGAAACAGCAATCCTCGAGAGATTGATTCAGAGGAATCTCTATTGAGATTCCTCTGAATTATTCCTGTGAATTTTACTGTGGTGACGGAAGCAGTACCCTGAAAAGGATAGCTTAAAACCCACAGAACCTTTGCATCTACTCTTGCAATCAATTCGACCGTAGAATACGGAGAACTGACGTAATGTATGGTCATGATTTCAACCCTCCAAGGTTCACTCGCAAATTTCTCACGACACAGAATGAAGCACCAGATATTGTGAAAATGTGGAAGGCAATTTGAGATCATACGAGGACGAAAGATAACAGCGGTGAGGCAAACATTTGAACGACGGACGAAGAAGATGGATTACACCAAAGTCACAGGAAGTGAGACAAAATGCACAGGTCTCTAAATGGACCAGAAGCGATGTTCACAATACCTGAAGTGATATTCTGTCCCCACGTTTCGTACTGTGAAGGAACGCCTCCCACATTCAATTCCTGCACTGACTCCTGCACTGACTCGATAACTTTCTCGTGTACGTCATTTTCTGTGCATCCCTTATTCAATGCCTCCGTAATAAGAATACTCTGCCCAGAAAGCTCCAGATCGGTACGGGGCAGCTCGATGAACTCAATAGTGGAATTCACTCTAATTAACTCCATAAAATCCTCAAACACGTTCCCTAGGCCTCGACAGCTCCCCAAAGACAGAGTCTTCAAGGTCGTGTTCCCGTGCAGAGCTTGGAGTATGTGCCTCCACTCGATCGCCGAGAATTCACTCCCCTCCAAACGCAGTTCCAGCAGAGAGTTACTACTGCGCAGAATGTCCGCCAGAATGCTCGGCAGACCGGTCTCCTTCACGAACTTCAACGACAAAATCTGCAAGCTTTCATTGTACATCGCAGGCGCAGTCATGTCATCATACTCTGTAGGATGACCAGGATGAACGAGCGCCTGCAGAAGAATCATCAGTGGACTTCCGTCTTCCTCCTGCACCATTTCTTCCTCCTCTGCAGTGCGCCCGACGATTTTAAGTACTTCCAGAGCTCCTCCGCGGGAAGTCTGAGCAGCGAGAGCCTGTCCCAAGTGATCAGCACCCGCCACTCCCATGACACTAATCGTCAAACTCTTCAGCCCTTTGAAGGATCCCCGGGACGAATCCTCGGTTCTACTCACATTCAGCTTGCCTTTAAGCACAGCAGCGAGAAGCGCCATTCCATTGTCATCGAGTTTCGGATTGCCGCTCACATCCAAGTGCCTCAGCGCTATGTCATGACCCATAGCTCCACAAATTTTGGCCATTCCTTCCCAGCCCATGCCGACCCGAGCCAAACTGAGTGTGTGGAGATTCCTGCAGCCATTGAGAATTCTGTTTATGAATCCACAGCCATCCTTGGTTCCTGCTGCCAAATTTCCGCTCAGGTTCAGATCCTCCAATGTGTCGCTCTTCTCCAGCCCCAGACCCAAAATCCGCATCTCTGACTCATCCTCTATGCAGCAATCGGACAGATTTACGCTAGTCAGCGTGGGACAAGTAGCCACCGAGGAGAGCACCTTCAATCTCACATAGTCCCAGCTTCCGCTTCCTGTCAGGGCCTTGCCCTGCGATCTGATCGCCTCAGCATTGAAACAGGGCCCGAATTCCGCAACTTCGGTGAGATCAGGAAGCTCTTCGATTCCTGGAACGGCTGCCGAAGCCAGCTGCTGTACCAACCGCTTCAGGCCCGGAGGAAAGCATTCTTCGTCTTCCATCCCTTTTCCTCAATGCTGTAGCCTCCGGTTGCGATATACAACTGCGAATCTAACCTTCGACCCTCTGAAATCACAACCCACTTCTTCTGCTGACACTCCCAGAGACCGAAGGAACGGCACCAGAAGCATGCGCTCGATGAGAAGAGGCCGCAAGACCCCCAGACCAGAATTTTCCACGTACCTAATGCACGTTTTTTTTTATTGCTGATGAGTACAAGCAGCTCTGTTTCCGTCCCGAAGATCTGAACGAAGTAGTCAGCTCGAAATCGTTCCAACAAACTGAAGCTCACAGAAATAACCGGCCTCGATTAAACCGACTCAAATGTAGGCAATCTGATGCAGCTCGGATCTTGTGTCTCGGAGTGGTGTCAACCGTAGGGTGACAGAAGAAGATCTCGCTGTGTCCAAGCTCGCGAACCAGCCGGACCTTCGATCTAAACAAACCAGGAGAGCATTTGTCTGTCAAACGTCGAGGTCAAGGAGGCTGAACATGAACGAGCGGATGCTCTCCTTCTCCTCCGCGAGCAACATCCGATCGAAACATCGCCAGCATCCGCCGCCTCGACGCAGAGTGCAAGCATTCGACATGAACCACGGTTCCAGCTGTTCCCCCGATTCGGCCTTTCCTCCGACTCCGATCCTCGAGACTCTCACGGAGGGAGGCGTATTGACCGCTACGAACTCCGAGTGGCTGACTTTTTTGGGCCGGCGGGCCCCACCACCCTGGCGCGTGAAGCTCCCGCGGATCGACTTCGCCCGAGGATCCGGCGCCTCACGTGCGCTGCCACGTGCGCTGCTTATCATCGCCCCGCGGACAAGGTTCGTTCTCCGGCGACCGCGGCCTGCAACGCTCGCAAGGGGACTGTAGGTCGAGAAAAGTCAACACTCGGGCTTGAATTCGGGAAGCTCACTGTGCGGGTACATGGTTGCGGAATTCTGCTCCCAGTGATCGGGAAGATTTTATTTCTGAAGGATTATTGCATCAGAATTTGATCCTGTGTCGTCCCGGCGAAGGCATCCTATGTCAGTTACAGGATCTCTTTTTGCCTTTGACAGCTAGCTTTACTCTTGGACACGTTACGCTGAAGTTTTCTCTGATTCGCGTGGAAGGAGGTTCGACGAGGTCGGTTCATGTCAAGTTGAGATCTGGTCTTCTGTCTTTTATATATCCTGATCAATGAATATAATAGTTTTGGCATCTTCCCTCGCTAAGTTCTTGCGGATTCTGAGGAGGAAGACAGTGCGGCCTTTGAATTCGATATTGGACCAGGCAGAGGAGGAAAGACGCTCCTCTACATGATTCACGGAATTATGAATCTGGAACACTCGGAATAATCATTTTGTGCGCATTCCCTTTTTAATATCTCTCGCACTGTGCTTTCTGTGAAGAAATATGTGATCGACTTTTCTAGATTCAAGCCTCCGGACACCACACGCCGAGAAATAAAAGGAAGATCAGTATTTCTGACATCTTCATGTATTTAAAGAGCTACAATAATTCATAGCAACAATTACAATGTCGTACTTTTTCAATTAGAGGTCTAAAAGAGTACTAGTGTGTCACGAGAAGTTTGCTACGAGTCAGCAAGAGTACCTTGCTGGCATTATTAAAAGAATAAAAGAAAATTCTTATATTGCGGTTGCAATGTAAGAATTTCAATGGAAAGAAATGGATCGAGGCTACTCAAACCGTGTGGGTTTTACTTGTCCTCTGGAGCTTTTTGGAATATTCTCTCATAATGAGATTCATACATAATCGTATAAGCAAGGCTCGTGGGACTTGCGTAACTCAGTCATGTTGTTCTGGAGGTAATCGCGTCGGTGCAAAGGATGCTTGCTCTAGAAGTTAGAACTTTTCGAGGCTTAGTATGCTTGCAATGTTCTCCTCAAATTCCTCCATCATCTTCAAATCAAATTCTTGCGGCATTTCGGTCCATGGCACCAGCAGATAAGGTGACATGCTATCCAAGAGGTCTCTATAGTTCATGAGTCTCTGCAGCTGTTCCAGAGGTTCGGGCTGTGTCACGAGTCAAACAGGAAGATCCCTTTATCCAAGGTGAAGGAGAATAATATTCTTCTGCTATGCTCATTGATGTTAAAGAACTTCATCAGAGGTTAGAATATGACTCCTTCTAGTAATCAAGGCTTGAAGTTCCTGTTCGAAATGAATCATAAGAAGTGCTTCGAATGACAATCTGACTCCACTTTCAACTCGAGAAAATTCTAAGAGAAACGAAATGTAGCAAGACTGAAAAGAGGTTTACCTGAGTAAGTCGTGCAGTCAAGCTCTCGTGTAGTGTGTTCATTATGTCAAAGTGTTTGTCCTTGATGACTTGTAACTAGAAGATTATTTTTTTTCCAAAAATCAGTCTTGACCGTTTCATCTTAATTTCCACAGACTACAAGTCTATACGTTTGGAGAGCGAGACGGAGGAAAAAAAAAAAAAAAAAAACAGAGAATGCATGTGCCCCTCAAGTTCTTACCCTAGCTCGAAGGATATCCTGGTCCTTTGTCTGAGAATTTGACGCTTCGTGGGCAGTTGTATGACTTGGCACTGTCCATGTTTATAAACATTAAAATAAATCATGAACTAGAACGAAACACTCGAGATCTTCTTTTCAAGCCACACAAATTTTCCGTATGAAAAGTACAGAGTTCAATATAACAATATCAATTCGCTGAAAGGAATATTACAATCAAATATATAGATATTCCTTTGAGCTCTGTTCATTGTATTGTACCCAAAAAATACTGTTCTCTTTCTAGACATCATATTCATCATCAAGTCACATCAAAGCTGGTCTTATAATAACCTGTTGTAGATTCTGAAAGTGGCAGTTCGGACTGTTGTTGAAGATCGTCCATCTGTCCCTTGTGGATCCTGTAACAGCAGACCTCAAATTGGAACAAAAATTCCATAGAATAATCTGAGTATTATGCTCCAAAAGTCAAGTCAACAAAGATACAAGTGATGTATACATACAGATTAAACACATATTATTCATGTCATATTTTTTAAAAAGTTATAAGACAGAATAAATATACCCTATATCAAAAGACACCTATTAAAAAACCTTCATATATCTCTTTCTTCGAAATCCCTCGAGCACTGTGGTGATATTTCATATTTTCCGTCCTTAAGGAAATTGAACAAATAATGTGAGAGAAATTGAATTTAAAATAAGGTTTGAGAAGACTAAAGTGAAGTAATATAGAGTAGCGTCAGCCAAAAGCCCAAAAGTCGAGTGTAAGAAAGAAAAAGTTCTCTATTCACCTGCCTCCTTACCAAGCTCACCAATGAATGTCAAGCCAGAGGCAAGTCACTCTGTAAAGTGCGCTCCGAAGGAGTTGAGAAGTGGAACTTCTGATTGCTGGAGGGCCTTTTGACTCATCTCATCGCTACTGGTGGAGGGGCTGCAAAGCTTCGTCGAGAAGATTATCGGTAAGTTCTTCTGCAAGATACAGGATCTGTCAACGGCTACTTAGAGCACATTTCGAACAAGATTCCTCGTACTGTGCTTGTTCATCTGGATCTCCAAACATTAAATCACTGTACTTGCAAGACGTGGGTCGTTCAACTTCGGAGAAGAAGCATCTCCAACATCTGCTTTATACAGCGGATTGCGTCTTCGATCACATCCCAACTAAGCAAAGTGTGTTGGCATTTTGGCACCCTCATAAATGTACCCCTTGAAAGGAATGCGTCTCCTTGATCAGAGAAAACACTATTCAGATTATGATTATGGAAAGCACCGTCACTAGATCTCACAGAGTGACACAGTTTTGCCCCCTTCCCAGGACTTGAAGATAAATGTGACCCCTCCCGAACCATCAGGAAGTCACGGTAATAGCATCTATCTCTATGTTACAGTCCTTTAATTATAAACATCTGAAGTAGATCTGAATCTACCTCAGAAAATCTACTGGCGAAGTGGCTGGTTTCAGGACTCCATTCAGCTTCGTTCACGTATACCGCTCCATGGATGTAACATTTAGGTCAGAAGTCTTGTGTTCATGATTGAGCGGATTTAATTGGCTGCAAATTATTTTCTCTTGCTTTGGAAATACTTTACATACATAATTGTAGACGTTTTCACTTTGATGGAGTTTCTATTCAGTCCGATTTGTAAGGTTTTGTTAAAATGAACATATTTGCAGACGAAGTTGATATCCTTGAATATGCATTTGAAGACTGGAACTCAGTACTTTTTTTGTGAAAAAATTATAATGACTTTTCACAAACAGTTAAAACATTTATTCTATTTTCAATTTCATCAATTGCAAGCTTAAAAATATCAAATGTTGATGGATCACTATATGCAAAATTAATTATTTAGAAAAAAATCAACATGAAAAATCCTTACGTTGTAACAAAATCCTAAAACTGTTGTAAAAATAATAATTACAACTTAATGAACCTTATATTGTTATCATGTATGTTAGAATTAGATTACAATTAGACTACTGATTAGCATAATCCACACTGATGGAAATTGGAGAACTTAATGATATAATCTTACATTAGTTGGCAGGATACGTGGAGAATGAATTCTTACGTATGAAGTGAAAGATCAGAAATTCAATCTTACATATAAAAATTATTCACGATTCATTTAAGATTGCATGTACATGCTTTTTGTTTTCCGATTTCATGGAATTTTCTTTTATTCTCAGATATAGGAAAAGATTTTGAGGATGTCAAGTAAACATTCATAAATTATTTGCATCAACGGTTATGAGGTTTTCTTAAAAAACAGAGAAAAATAGAATTATCCATCGTTTGTACTAGGCGGAAAAGTTGTATGAGTTCTTTGACATCAATAGATTTTCCTTCTTTAGAAATAGAACTTTATCAAAGAGTCAAGCTGGGAGTTCGGAGACTGCACGATCTTGCAGACTTATAAACCTATCAGTTGCAGTGGATATACTAGTAGACACCGACAATACTGGCAATCGTTTATTTCGGATGGGATTTGTCGAGTTCTGAAGAGCAATTGACGTGTTGTAAGTATCCAGAGGAAGGCTGGAGCCAGCATTAGCCACAGGATAGTGAGGTGGAAATCCAAGATGCGAGAGTCAACCTCATAGTAGTCAGAAATCGGCATTTCGGAGTGAATGTTCTCAGAAAAATCTTGGTGATATTTCTGATGAGTAGCATGTGATTTTCTTGCACTGCAATTCGATCATCCAGTATCAGTCAATCACCTCGCAGACGGACAGCCATGTGCATCAGGGACATTTTCATGGTTTCTTAAATGCCCTTAGCCAGTTAGCATCAGAGTCACCAACACAGTCCTCTGCTCCACGGGTGTCTAATGTTCTTACATTTCTTTGTATGTCAGGGCGAGAACGATCTATCTGTTCACTGGCGCTGTCTTTTGTTGGTCTTCGTTGGGGTTCCGACCTTTTTGTTGAGTATACCATCGAGGATCAGTAAAGTAGCGTGGCTGTTGTTGGTTTATCTGTATCGTGGAGGTTAAATCAGTAGTAAGTCGAACAGCCCGATGTTCTCATTGTAAATCAGTTTGAGTTAGTAGTAGATGGAGGTTCAAGTGTGCTTGAATTTGAACTGCTCACATCAATTCGCCTGAGTATCATATACACTTCCAAAGTGTATTCGACAATGTCACCTAAGAGAGACATATGCTTTTTTCTCTGTGCGCTTATCGAAGCAGTTCTTGAGAGTGTAAGTTGTGTCAGTTGATGTGATCATGATCTTCAGTAAGACTAAAATCTGTGTAGTTCGACTTGTATATATCTCCATTCGGGAATTAAAGACCTGCAGGTTGCTCTGAAGGCCTTATATGAATAGTCTTTGGAACACGTTTAGTCTTGCCACGCATATTGTCGTCCTTCGTTAGGACCTTCCTTACGGGTTGGATGCCGAGAACAATGTCCTTAGTCGCATTCTTCATCTAGTTTTTCCTTCCAATAGATTCTCTTTATGTGTTTAAGATTTACTTTGTTAAGTGATTGAAACAGGATATGAACTACCTGGTCTCAAAAGCAACTCTTGACAACAAGAGTAATCCCAATAAAAGTCACTTTTATTTAGAACCATCGTAGTTTCTGAGTCCATTCAGACTCAGATAGTGTGTCCAGTGACATTGAATAAGCCAACGTACTTGCATGACGATCACCAGCAGGCTCGTTGTGCACGAATGAAGTCATCAAGGTGCACATAGGTTTCAGTCTCAGTGTCGTAGCTGTTCAGAATCGAAAGCTCCAACGCTGCTCATTTTGGCCACGGAGTCTGGACTCTGTATATTTCTCAGGTTTCCTTGATTGCCCTTTGATACATTTCTTTCAATATCAGGATCGACTTCAAACCATCTGTCATATGCACATTATAATTGCAATTCTCAGATCGAGAGTTTAGTGGAAGCTTCATAACACCAAGAGGAGATCATCGGTGAAGATTCTCGGCCGCAAACCCCGCAGCGCAGTTTTTCACTCCAGATTCGTACCCTGTTCAGTTTCCAAAAATCCAGTGCGATTGATTTTATTGTGTTATGTTACTGCTCGCACATTTTTTCTCTCGCTCGAGGTAAGTCACAGAGACATAATTAGAAATACAGATTTCAGCGATATCCAGTATGTAGAGAAAAAAATCGTCTGTCGCAGTTGGATGCATGCATCCCCTTTATCAGACCTGCAATTTTAGTTAGTATCGATACTTGTTGTGATTCAATATGAATCTCACTCCAACTCCACTTCTTCGGACGAGCTTAACCAGCCCACGATGAGTGACCAATGCATTTCTTCGAGAATCGAAGCTGACTAGAGAGTATGGTATATCATGCTGGCAGTGATTCGGCCGATTCTTGGTCGTTCCTTAAGTTAGGACGAAATGCAATAGAATATTATCCTGTCTGTAAAACGGGAAGTCTCTAATAGCTCATACCTGACTTCCTGTTTCATCAGTTTTACTGTCAGTACTTTATGATCCTTCAAATTTTCATTAAATAAATAAATAAATAAAGAAAGAAAGAAAGAAATTTTAGATCACTCTGCTTTCATGAATTAATATTTGTTTCCAATTGTGATATAAATTTACAAGTTTAACGAAACCGCATTAGGGTTTATTTCAGGAAGAGAATTACAGTCACTTTACCACTGTTTGTTACTACTGCTGCTTTGCTCTCAGTTGAAAAATCAGCCACATTCTTTAGTTGCATCGACACGTATGGCCTGATGAAAGAATGTTGATACCAAATCCGCAGGTCAGAGCAAGTCCAAATGTCCGAAACGGTCTATCCACAACAGATCTCCTCTCTGATGTCAAAAGAGAAGTCTGAAGACTCTTTCCGTACGAGTCGTCGTGTAAAAAGTGCATCACAGTCTCGATTTACTCACTCCCGTTATTCTGACATCCTCAAGCCCACATTTTGTCTGGCACCGTAATTTTCCAAAGTTCACCAAGAAATGAAGATTAGAAAGGAAGTGAGTCTTGGAATGTTCTTCATTTAACGAAACTTGAACCTTTTCCATATGAATTTCAGTCTGCTCGTGATCATTCGATTTTAACCATCAAACATACATTTAATTTCTCTGGGCGGAAAAGGTGAGAGGAATTTTTTTTTTCCTTACCTTGTGACAATGTATTGGTTGCCTAAGACTGTCTTGCCATAATTATGAAAAATAATTGAGAAAACATGGAAGTAACTTATGATGGACCGAGTAATGCAACAAACCAGACGGGGAGACCCAACGGAGTGTGGAGGAATTATCCAATGGTCAGTTGTAAGAGGAGTAGAATATTGAACCCTACAGTAAAGATCCAACGAAATTACAATTTATTAAGCAAAAAATTTACAATACCAACGTACTTTGTCAAGCCTGAGGATTGACACTACTTTCGTCACTTAAAGAGCAATAGCTCTATTCACAAATACATTCGAGAAATTCCTTCAAGTGCCCACATGAATGTAGCATCAAGAACTTATTGAACAATATTATGGAATAGTCCAGATGTATTTATTTCTCAATAAATACAACTGGACTATGTGACTTTTTGAAAAGACTCACCGGAAACGGCTAAAGTGTATATTCGACACTTTAGCTCAATGATAGAGCATGTTCCATGCAACGTACTGCACAAAATTATGTGTGCCCATGAAGCTGCGACGACACGTGCACAGAATCACAGTGCCCCGGACGAACCACGATTGCTGGATAGCCTGACCGACCATGACAATCAGCATTCGTTTTTTCTGGATAAGCTCCTCGATCACCGAACAATGAAAAGCCAACTGCCCGATCTGACACTGCATATGGAATCGATACAGCGCATCTTGTGCACGAAGTACGAGTCCGATTCAGATAAAGTCGATATCCAATCACTCTCATTGCTTCGCTTGGAGGTCGACAGTGGCTGGCATGTAAGATTTATTAGTTTACTCAGTCCTCAGAAAGGTTCTGATAACAAGGTAGCATTCTATTTCAAGACATTGCGCATTTGCTCAGTAACTTGTTGAATTTGATCCCATCTTTGAAGAAATTTGCATTGATCTAAGAAGAGACCATTTCGAAGTTCAATGGGCGTGATAAGCCTTGACTCGATCGATTCCCTTCCAAGTCTTTGATGGAAGGAAATAAGATGAACCTTGATGAGTACTCAGCATGAAGATCACCGTGAATTTTCAGCTCAAGTGTATTCAATTATTATCACCCAGTAAGCAGTCTACGCACTCGTTGCTTTGTTTGAGTAAATTTTTGGCCTGCATACATTCAATCAGCAGCACATGCGTATTTAATACAGCCATTGTGGCAACATTATAGCAGTGAGATTATTACTAAGTAGCAATCAGATGTTCCATTTGACACGAACTGTGTTCTTCCCGCTGGTCTACTGTGATACGGGGCCCTGCATCTGATCCAAATGCAGATGGATCGGGCAGCTCGATTTCAACTTTCCTAGAGTCGTATCCAGAGAGCGCTATGCCTTCACCTACTCGCTAGTTTCATTCAGGATTATGTTGGTGCAGTCAAACGTAAGGATTTCGATTACAGCATGACACCGATAGAAAGCGTAGAGAATCAGCAGCATGGTTTGAAGCGATTATCCGAAGCATATCGATGACGGCCTTTACCAACTCCTTCCGTACATTCGTCCTCGTTATTACTTCGAAGATTACTTGGTCTGTTAAATCTTTCTCAGTTTAACAATACATTTTGGTTTTAACTGGACGAAACCCAATTTTTTAAGGTCGTTGATAGTTCGCAAATGCGCCGGGCTGGTACCGTGAATTGGACCAATTGGCAAAGCTAGTTTCAAGTGATAAATCATGAATCTTACAATGAATCGTAAGTGAGGATCATAAACTGGATAAAACTTGAAGCTGAATTCACCTGCAAATTTGAGCTTTTATTGAACAGCATCACTTGATATATGATATGTAGTTACTGATAGTTGCATCTGCACCCCTTGTGTACGTATTGCTATAAGTAAAGTTTTCGAAAGAAGTATTATTTTCACAAATGTCATGGAAATCGCGGGAAACTCTGTATTGTAAAGAGCGAGTTGTTGATTGTGTACTTCACGACAGAAATTTCGTGAATTTCTACTTGTCATGAACTCTTTTTAAAGCAAGCTATCGGAGTCCGGAAGCTGGAAGTTGCCAGCTGAAGGACGCCATCTGTCCACCATGGTTCGATCAGAATCTCACTTATTCCTTTCTATGGCATAAAGGACGAACCAGCTGAAGGTATGATCAGCTCTCGTTCCCTTCCATCTGTCGATCCTTCGGGCATTCGATCAGAGGTTTGAACAAGTCGAACATCAGCGTATCACCAACTTCCTGCGAGATCGTCCACAACTGTAAGTTGGTCTGAGAACCTGCAGAATAGGCAAAGGAATCAGGCAATGTACATACTAGTTCCCAGGACAGGAATAATAGTTTCGTTATAGTGACACGAAGGGTCTAACAACAGTTGATTTGTGATTACACCTTGGATTTGCTGAGAGTTGAATTTTAACAGAATAAGTTTCTGTGGATGCAGGAAATGGCTGAAATGAGAAACATTTTGATGGCTCCCATCCTCTTCGCCTTGGTGGCACTGCTATACACGGCGTCTCCAGTAGACGCTAGAATCAAGTCCGACGATTCCGTCAGCTGCTCAACCTCGTACTAGAGTCCCTACTTGGAGCACGCAGAAGAGACTGTGAACGCCATCAGGAAGTTGCCTGGGGACCAGGATTGCTGCCAACTGAGAGACCCAGCGGGATGTACCGAGCTGGCGAGCTGGTTGACGTCCAAAGTGAACATTTGTGGAAGAAAAGGATGCACCACGTGCGGAAAGGCCGGTGAAGCTCTGAATGAAATTCTTGCTCAGTGCCCCATAAGAGTCGTCAACGCTGAAACTCGAGTGCAAGGTTCAAATGAAGTGGACGGCTTCTTTGTCAACATCTACAGCGGCCACTTTCACACCTCCGATGATTCCTCGGTCGTATGCGACACCTCAGACTCCAGTCCTTTTTTGGCGAACGCTGAAGAGAATGTGAACGCCATCAGGAAGCTGCCTGAGGAAACGCAGTGCTGCCAACTGAAAGAACCTTCGGGATGCACTGAGATGGCGAGCTGGTTCAATTCCAAGGTGCAAATGTGTGGAGAAAAAGGGGCACCTCTTGCAGAAAAGCTGGCGAAGCTCTGAACCAAGTTCTTGCCCGATGCCCCATGAGAGATATCAGCGGTGAAACCCGCGTGGAAGGGAGGACTGAAGAAGACGGGTTCACCTTCAAGATCGCACAAAACCGTCCCGATACTGGAAAGATTAGACTCGTCGAGTCCGTGTAATGCGCTTTTCAAGCCCACTAATAACCTCGGTAATTTCGGCACATGTCACCCAACTGACGGTCATGAGCTCATTCACCGAGTCTGTAAAGCCCACAGTGTGGATTTCAAGCTACAAGCTAAGCGTAGCCCATTCCTGCAGGCCGAAGGAGAGAGTGTAGTTATTTTCATGTGTAATCTCGACTGTGGAGTGCAGCCAGAAAGGATCTACGCTGGTTTTCGTGTATGTTCGGAAGAGCTCTCTGATTGATAGATCAACGATAAGAATCCTGAAGCTATCGTTGATACATTCAGTCTTGACTTGAATAAAGCTTGAGTTTATGTTACTTGCAAGTGTTTATGCAGGAAGTTCATGCATCGGATGATAAAGATGGTAAAGAAGGCGGAAGTGGATCTATCATCCTTTAGATTTTCATTCTATCAATACATTCGGCCAGACTGTATTTTAGAGTTTGAGTTTGCAGATTGAACCCTAACGTGGAGAGAAATCATATTCGTTGAAGATAGTGGCTTTATTGTAGGAGTCAAGATTCGGCTGCATCGATGAAACCTTAATGTTAGTGCGCATTTTCGTAAGCGGCAGGAAAGCCTTAAGGAAGTGTTCCGAGAACACATAGGAGAAAGATTCTTCTTATCCAGGTCCCTCGCATGGAAAGTGGATGCGATTTTTTTCTGGTTAGGGAGACATAATTGACTTCCTCTTCACAGCAAGATCAGGGACTTGCTACCATTTCCAAATTTTATGGGTTCTGCAAATGAACTTTAACGACAACGTTACGTCCTCACTCGAGTTAGTTCTGAGCTTCCATAGCCCTTGAGAGAGACAGAGCCCGGACATTATTACGCAGCACAACAGAATCGAAAACCATGAATACGGATCTCTCTGACTGCCGTCGATCTGACAGTAGCCCCGTAAGTATATATGCGACGTTGGGCATAATTCGAGAAGACATTTAAAAGAGAAGGTGATGACTAAGGTCGCTGGCTCGGTCGTTTTCCACTCATGGTTATAATCCTTGACAGCACTATGGCTAATGAGTTCTGAATCTAGTCCATAGTCAATGACTGAAGACACGTCTTCATCAGAGGTCAACTTACCGACAATTTTATTGTGCCCAGAAGTCGCTCGACCCAAATCCGATTTTCCAGGAACGAAGCAATCAGGCTCTTAGGCTAGAAGATGACTATTATGCTCAAGGAAGTGGTTCGTGTCAACGAACAGCATCACCAACCCTCTGCCAGATGCGGGTACATCATGAACTCTTTACAGCTTGTTGTACTCGGGAATTTTCTATTGAGTTCAAAAGCCAGGAGAAACCACATCACGCTAAAACTGACGGGCAGCTCTTGTAGTTCACTCTTCCAGCTTGTTTCTGAGTCATAACTAAATGCAAACCATGTAGCATAGGAGAGATTCCTAGGCATACGAAAATTACAGATCGAGCTGAACTTCTCTTATTCATACAGGTCTCAATAATAATTAAAAGTTAAGGAACAGTAGAGTCTGATTTCAAATGACATCCACCTGCTGATACCCGAATGAAGTACGCTGCATGCTGCACAACCTCTGTTAACTGGTCTAGCTGCCCACTAGAATCGGGGAGGGAGTAAAAGACCATGAAGCAAAACTTCTCAAACGGAATGGATGGGATCATGTTGACGGCACCTCGGACTGAAGTGTGGAGTCTCCTGCCCGGCTATTGAGGGGAGTGAAAAGGGTTCTGGGCTTACTCCAGCTTCTCTTTGTTCGTTTCGTCCATATCACTGGCCAACACGCGAGTGTCTAAAGCTTGATTCTTCCGTGACTGCATAAATACGTGTTTCGTGACTCGTGAAAATGTAATCGATTGTCTAGCTTCTTGCAACTTCGCTCGGTTATTTTGGACAACATCACCCGCGAGTTCTTTCATTATTATCTAGCTCCTGCGTATGGGTCTTTTTTTCTTTTTGTAACTTATAAACTCCTCCTATCTCCGGAGGCTTGATTTCTATCATAAGAGACACGATGCTCCGGGAGGGATCATGTTTCAGAAGCTTGCATTTCATTTCGCTTGAAATAAAGACTATTTCGTGCCTGATGAGAGAAAACAATCAATAGTCGATATGCTGGATTGTTATGTCTCTGCGTACCCAAAAGGAGGGGAATAAGTCTTGTCAGACGAGACAGGCTGAAGGAATTTGATCTATGAACACTATAAAGCACTCGAAGTGAGATTTGATCTCCACAATCTAAGTTGTGGTTCTAAGTTGGAATGGTTTTCTTCCGTGACAGGCCAGATTAACCACCCCATGATGCAGAGTTCCCATTCTTCATCTGGAACTACGGTTTGATTTATCTATTTTTACCCTGGGAACCCGCTAACGCTAGCTCCATGTCAAAATTGTGTGTAGGCTTGGACAGAAAGCTGGAATCCTATCTGGTGCTGGTAACCAGCTTCAAATTTGGGTGGTTCCTTTGTGCCATAACAGGATTCACGTTGCTCCTGGTTACGGAGAGAACAGGAATTTCGATCTATATGCAATCAAGCATCAAAGGTCACGTCGCTTCAGATCGGGATAATCTCCACCGTTTGGTTCATTGTCATTCTCCTTGTTGTAGCAGAATGTCGACGTCGGTGGAGTTGCGGCGGCGGGCCCGAAGGCTATGAAGAATTGGCCATGGCTGAGCGTGCAGACCTACGGTGGGAGCGAAATTCGAAGGAAATGAGATTAACTACACCGAGCGCTACAGACTTTATGGGCGGATAGATGTTTGATTGTCCTGAATGTCTGCTGTAGGATGCACGTATCAGTACTTCAGGTTAACCTTTTCTCGGCAATGGAATCACTAGAAAGGTACGTCAGAAACTTGTAGATTACATGCCGAGGCTCAACAGGATCTGAGTACGTAAGCAAGGTACTATGATCTCACCTCATTCAATTTCTTGAAATTTTAATGGCCTCCTCAAGAATTTACTGCGAATTTTTTCTGAATGTTTCTCGAACAAACTCTATCCATGTGGTAGAACTCCACGGCTTCGCGGAAACTAGTGCATGGATATACTGCGGAGAATTTAGCCTCGGATCTTTTGATCAATGTGAAATTTTCCTCTTTTCGGATGATATGACGCTCATAAACCGTATCTGAATGTCGATACTGATGACGCGCGATATGTTGGGAAATTCTGACACTAATTTCCTATTGCCAGTCACTCGATACCTTTGTCTGGTGCCATTGTCGGTGGTCATGGAAAAAGGGACTGACATCTTTCATGATTGCCATGACCAGAAAGAGCACAGTCAAATGACGTCCTATTGTCTATACCGTAGTCGTAATATCTGGACAAACCCGTAGATACAGGGAAAAAGTGCATTTCTGAAGAACTCTCGTGTACTTATACTATGGCATTAAAGGTATAAACTCGACAAAGATATGACAGCTGAAGAGTCAAAGGCGTTCGTCCAGGGAAACCTGTAAAAGTCGACCAAATGGCTGATGAAAACTCCAACCGCGAGTATGTAGACTCAACAGAGCTCTCAGTTTTTATGTAAAGTAATTGATGTATATAAACACACTGGACCTAGGTGTCTGAATAGTTTTGATCTGCCGACTTCGTAAGATTGTCCGGAATCTGTCTCGCTTTGCGGCTTGCAAGTACTCCTTCGTTTATTGAGCCATCAGCTCCAAAACTCCTTAGTGGTCTAAGAAATTTTCTTGCCCACATAAAGCTCCAGTGTGGTACGTTCGGATGTTTCATCAAAACGTACCAGATTCGATCGAGTTCATTGCTGTGAAACTATTATCAAATTCTACGTCTCCTTGGCCATAACACTCCTCCCCGGAGAGCTCGCCGTGCTGTAGTATCCATAACTCCACAGAGTTGATCATTGCCAAAGTAGTTGCTTGAGAAGCAGCTCGTAAACGAATATCCCAATCCAAATCTGCGGGTTTTGGATAGAAGACTGCATGATTATCCGAGAGCAGGTAGATGAAGATAATATAGTGATAATTAACACCATACTATAAGGATAACAAGTCCGTTATCACGCTAGCAAAGGGTCCATTGATTTACTTCGGCAGCTTTCATTGTTCCTCCCGGTTCTGGTCGTAGACCTGCTATCCAATTCACTCACATGACTAGTTCCGAGCTCAGTATTAGGTAGACCAGCTGTATGGCATTCTCGGTAGGATTTCCATCTCATAGAATTCATATGAACTGAGGTAGGCGTTCCATAGATTCGACCGATTTGGATCACCATGTATCCCCCTCGGAACCAAAACCAGCACCCTCTCCACTGTACTTCACTTCCATGGAAATTTGATCTTAGAGATCACTGGCACTTGTCGTAATGTAATTTCTTCTTTCCAAGGAACTGACTATAGTACATCGTTTCATGTACGTATAGCCCTCGCAAGGGAAAGGAGAGGGCAATGAGTGGGGATGGGGACACCAGACCCAGATCGAACTCGGCGCTTCGAAGAGCGTCTGAGAGTTCAAATAGTGGAATTATGGGAGATGTACAACCTGCAAGCCTTGAAATGAACTCTCTAATGGTCACTTTACGAAACCGAGGCTCCCAAGCGAACAAAGCTCTCGTGGGTGCCAACCCGTGGACGCAACAATCGGCGGAGCAGCTAAGGCTAGAGAACATGCAACAGGCGATGCAGGCCTCGCGGGTAGATCAGGCCATCAGGCAGCATCCTAATATCCAGGCAGCAAACGTGCTCGCTCGACCCGTGGGGGACGTCGGTGCTTCCACATCGGCTCGGAGAGATACGCCTGCACCGTGGCTGATTCATTTGACAGCCGCAGCATTTTCCAGAGCAGAACCAAAAGCTCCAGATATCTCCTCGAGGAGTCCAGCACGAGAGCTTCAAGCGCTCCACTTACCGAGAGCATGTGAGAACGATACTCTGGTGACCCCTGAAATTGCGGCGTTCATAAAAGAGCTCAGAGAGGCGCTGACAGATGACGAAGGAAATATATTACCGAGAGGCCTGGCGGCTTTGTACAGAGAGAGAATCGTCAACGACGAGGATGAAGTGGAGCCGTCCGTGGTCCACTGGTTTGAGAAAGCCGGCGTGCCGCTCAGATGGGACAGATTTGGGTATAGAGCATTCATCGGCTACGAACCTCAGCCACATCCGGATCGAAGTCCACGATCTGAGGAGGAAGTAGATGAACGATTATTGGACGTATGCAACGATGCAGAGAGTCCCCCTATGAACAGATATGTGAAAAACCTCAGAGCAACCATGTTCGATCGGGACGGGAATTGGAAGCTCGAGAATTTTGAGAATCTGCGCAAGGACGGGCTATTCGACGACGACCACGTCATTCCGCCCGACAGGGTTCAAGACCTGTTGGATGCGGGCATTCCTCTGGGCTCCGATGCGGAGGGACGCAGGTACCTTGCTTATTACTGTGGCCTGACCTGCGCGAGAACTGCAGGCCTGGGGCAGGGGTTCAACTTCTGGCGGAAGAAGAGGGACAGCAGCCGGTCAGGGGCGGTCCACCCGTCCACTTACAGGGGAGCCAGGCTACTCCTGGAGCTGCCACCTCCGCCCGACAATCTTGACCTGGCACATCTGGATCACAGAACGAGATATTATATTTGTCTCCTGAAGAGGGGCCTCATCGACGAAAAAGGACAAATCATCGCCGGGGGCATAACGGAGTTGCGTCGATGTTGCATTGTCAGCGAGGACGGGAGAATTACGCCGTCCTTCATTCCCTGGCTGCGGGCTGCGGAAGTCCCGCTGGTTACTGATACCGTGACCGGGGCCGTCCGCGTGAACGATGATGCTGCTCGCATGGCGGATCTCAGCATGCAAGAGCAAGGAGAGGATCGGCCCGACCCGCCCTCTGCCCTGAACTTGTTGTCTGAAGTCTGCTCGCAAGCCGCTAGAATTTCCATAAGCGGTCCACGTCAGCGAGCTATAGTGGCCAACGTGGCACCGAACCCAGCTGACCAGGCGGGAACCGGAGCGGCTCAGCGGCTCATGAACCCGATCGCCGCGGAGGCTCTCGACCGGGTAACGGTGAGAGCTCGCGGTAGACAGTGGAGAGATCCCGGGCAGCCTGCTGCAGATCCGATGGACGTGGAGCAGGCTGATACCTCAGCCAGCGGAAATGAGCGCCAGCGGAACCCGGTTGCTGCCCAGCCTCGTCAGCAAACCACCGCAGCCCGGCCGCATACAACACCGGGTCCAGGCGACTCAGAAAGAGTAGGTCCGGCGAGAGAGCGGTTTCTGTTCGGCCCGGACGTCCCCGGCGGCCCGAGCGGAGCCGAGGCTGCGGGCGGGCCGGACGGAGGGGAGGAACCCGAGAGGGACACGGTGCAGGCGCAACGGGCGGAGGCTGATCGCGTCCAGCTCCTGCTCCAGCAAATGGACATTCTGGACGCACAAGTCCGGAGGGCGACGGGAAGAGGCGCACCCGTCGTGCGAAGTCCGGGTCCACCGGCGACCCAAAACGCCGGGCGAGGAAGAGCTCCGGATAGGCTCGTCGTAGCACAGGTCGCACCGGGAACTGCAGTCCAGGCCGGCGGACAATCTGAGAATCGGCGCATTCGAAAACGTTCGGAAGATTTCCCTCAACCACCGGCTCAATTTCGTCGACTGGATGAAGCCGGTCAAGGTGTGGGCGTCGACAGAGGTCCTGCGGCTAGAGGAGATCAAGGCCCTGTTAGAGGAGATCCTGCGGGCAGAGGAGGAGGTCCTGTAGTGTTTAGAAGAGGTCCTCCGGGCAGAGGAGGTCAGGCAGGTGGTAGAGGTAGAGGACGTGGAGGAGGTGGAGCACGGGGAGGTTGGCGTGCAGGTGGTGGTTTAGGAAGAGGAAGAGGACGAGGAGGACGTGGTGGGGATGACGGGGCGGGTCCAGGACGTGGTGGAGGGTACCAAGGAGAAGGACAGGGACGTGGTAGAGGAGGCGAGGGAGGTGGTCATGAAGACGACGGCGAGACTGATGCCGACGTTGAGGGCTACGGCGGGGACGACGAGCCGCTCGACACTCAGAGCCAGGGGCTACACGATGCTCGAGGCACTGCAAGCGGTCCTGGGGGTCCAGTAGATGACGACAGCGACGAGGACAACGTGCCGCTCGCAATTCGTATGCAGAGGCTGGCTCGTGAACGCGCTGCAAGAGGTCCTGCGGGTCGAGGACGAGGAGGAGGAGGAGGTGGTGGAGGAGGAGGAGGTGCGAGTCCTGGTGCTGGAGGAGGCAGGGGAGGAGGGGGTCGAGGTGGTGGAGGAGGTGGGAGTCCTGGTGGTGGAGGAGGAGGTAGAGATGTCGACGGCGAGACGGATGGCGACGTTGACATTGATGGCGACGAAGAAGACGAAGAGCAGCGAAAAGTGAGACAAGAGCAGGACATGGCGGCCCTTGGAGTTAATGAGGAGGAATTTGAGCAGATGGACGCAGACGATGATGTGATTCACTTGGGAAGTGCTGATCCACCTGTACCTAGAATTGTCGGATGGGGAAAATTTATCGTGAGAAATCCAGATTATGTTCAAGTCGATCATCTACCACCTGCAATAAGAAACCAGATCCCGAATCGCCCAGATCCACAGATTGCATGCAATCCAAATTTTCCCGCATGGTCTGATCGGCTTCAACCTCGATGGGTTAGCGATGTTGGTGTCTTAACGATACGCATGGTGTCTGAGATGTTTCCCATTAACACGATCATATCACTTAAACTCCTTCGAATTCTCGTAATTGCAAGGAAAAGTATTAGCGTATGTTCCCTGAACTCTTGTCCTCTGAACCTGTTGAAGTTAACTTGGATCAAATAGCTCTTCGTCTGTATGTCCTGAAGTCTCATTTGAAGTGAGTTCTCAGGCACCTCCTTGTCTGACGAATAAGACTCCTAAAATAAGACTTCAGCTCGGATACCTTTTCTACCCGCTTACAGAACATTGAAACTAGTCTCATTTTTCCAGTACTGGAATAGAACCCTTTGTGGTTAGTCCCTTGGAAACAAACCTCAGTCAGGATGAGTTATACACACAGCCAGAACTACCGACGGCAGACGAGAGAGCCCAAGGTCTTTGTCAAACAAGTTAGTTTTTTGATGCCAGTGACATCATGAAGAGCGGCGCTTGAAGTCAGAGACCAAGATTGCTGAGACCTGTCTCAATACGCAGGTTTTATGCAAGAGAGTGTTTTCATCACTTCTTTCGCGCGCGGAGTGTATGATCATATCCGTACACTAGTTTTAGTACAAAGAGATTCAATGTCGTACACAAGCGTTTAGAGAGAGTAGAATGAGAAACGTTTCCACCTTTGGCTCGGAATCTCAAGCGATCTATGCAGTTACTTGCTCTTATCTTCAGATCTGGGGATTCTCATTATCATGAGCCCGAGTGTTCCATTTGTGCAGAATCGTAAGCAGCTTTACAGATGCAGATTAAATATTCACTTGAAAAACAGTGGAATTTGCGTTTCAATTCGGAACACCAGAGACGAGGCCTGTCCATGCTGGGGCGTACAAATCGGCCAAAACCGATATGATAAACAAGGCCCAATTCTTTACAAGCGGGTGAGATTCTCTTCACAAACCTTGAGTTCCTTCCAGCCTTGTAGTGGCGTTTACTGATCTGCAACTCTCTCGTCAATCAGTTTCGGCGAGAGTAATCTCAGTCTGGTACTAGGAGGCATTCGAGGCTTTATAAAATCTTACCCATACAGTCTAATCGGATTCTGGCACTTGCCTGAAACTGACATGACACATCAAAGTTGCATCACAAGGGCTTTTCAAAGAATGTCACAGGGCTGTCATCCACGAGACTTTGTGTGCATAGACTGAACATAACCATTCAGAATGAAACACGAGCTAAATTGGGAAAGAAATCCAATTCCGTAGATAAATTCTGGCTTTCACATTTTTTTGGGTATCTTCTACCATTTATGTTATGATCATTGCCCGAAGCCATATCATCACATGCGGGAATGCCGGAAAAGCCGAGGGGATTGTTCCGAAACCCTTGAATAGCTTTAGGTTCATAATCCCTGGGAAAAGTCGTGAGAGGATTGTTTTGAAGCCAACTTCGGTTGGCGCCTCTCCTCCCCACCTTGCCGCGCACCCGAGCATATCCTCTTTCTCTAATTCCATGAACTAAACAACTGAATTATTCGTAGAATCTGCTTGTTGGGTTGGGGCCAGGCTGTCACAGCGATAGTATGTGATTTTATTCGTGGTACTCCCCAGCATCCGCCACCAAAATTGTCGGTTGAACATAAGAGCTTGTATTTGTAAGTGGTCGATCATTCTCGACTTTTATTTGATCATTAATTTTAGATAGAAAATTAGTGACAAGTTATCGCAGGCTGTTACTAATTACCTACGATCATATTAGATTATAGAAACACAGATATTATAACTGGTTATCTACATTTATTATACCTTGAAATATATATTTGCTTAATTGTCACTGATTTTCTGTCAGCCATTGATGGCTCTTATGATGCAAACCCCTAGTGATTTGATGGTTTTTCTCACAAAACTGCCGTGATCACAGTTCGTTGATGTACCATCAAGGAACTAGGCCACCAAATCTTCCAGATATGGGCCAACAGTACCACTGTCAGATTAGCCCAGAGATGTTGCAGGACTTTGCTCGTGGAACAGGGCTTGACCTCGACTTGGTATATGCTGGCTGAAGTAAACCAGTCTTGCAAAGTCTTCAATGTTTTTAAATGAAGTTGGAAGTGATCATTTGAATAAAAATCAATAGAAAATATTTAAATGTATATATATTATATTATATTATATGACTCTAACATTTCGATACTATATAAAAAAAATGTGAAATTTATTGAAAAAAAAGACATAATTTCTATATATGTTACATTTTATACTCTGAGTAAAAGACAAATTATTTAAAATTTTAAAACTTAAATAATAGTAATTTATAAACATATATATATTAAATATCTCAAATTATTAATATTTTCACCTCGTTTAATAACTCTCAGGTTCTTAGATACAACGAACTTTGGGCACATATTATATATCAGCTGATAACATTGTCGCAAGCGGTGTTATTATTGGAAACTCAAATGAACTACAACACCCTTCAAGCGAATTTCTCTGAAATCCAGTAATATTCCGAGTTATTTGACGAATTTGAATTATCTGAAAATTTTCAACTGATTTGAAATTGTCCTTAATTGCTGTATTTTACCAGTTTCATTCCTAAAACTCAAGTAAAGCAAAATTATCATGAAAAACATTTCAACCCAGTTTATATATGAATGAGAATTTGTCACTTACTTTCTAGTTATAAACTGGACTGGGTTACTAAACTTTAAATCGATGCGTTCACCATAATATACAGAAATTATAACATGCTTATCCAATTCATTTAATTATTGAAATTAAGGTGGCTCATGTATGAAGTAAATGGTATGATATGTATATAATTCCTCAAATATTCTTGTTTTTAATTTTGTCCAGGGATTACATGGACAGCATCGGAGAAATAAACAGTTACCACGAATTCCCGCTAGAATCGCGGCTGGAATGGTCTCTCATAGCGGAAGAACTAGGAATGATGCCAATAGTAAGTCCAATCCTCTAAGTCCACTAAGTTTTGATCTGGCAATCTTCACTGCACAAATCTAAAGAGGTTTTCAAGTCCTTCCGAATGCATGAATGTGATAAAGTGAGACAATATAGAAGGGCTGGTTCTATATGACTTTTTTGGCTGCGAAATGCAAGAAAGTATTATCCCAAATTTCTAGTGCAAGGAAGAGGATATGTTTCAGTTAGTTTAAATTGAACATTAGCCAGAGCTGGATCAGTAGATCAAAAAAGTACTCTTCATCTCAAAGGATAAGTTGCTAAGTATCCATTTTTTTCAGATACGATTTTTTCTATTTATCTAAGTCTTTTGGATCAAAAGGAATCATTCTTTTGTTCATTAGTATTCTGTACGTTTCTGAAACTTTTGAAGAACCTGGTTTGAAAAATGTGAAACTTCTCGTGAAAATGCTTAAGCGAATTCGAAACATCTTATACTACACGTTTGAATGTAATTCATTTCGATCAAATTTAACGACGAGAATTCGTGGCTTTTTTACTGTGGGCAGTTCACTCAAATAATGGATTGGTATGTACAAAGACACGCGATAGAGAGGGGCCGTTTGGAGTACAGAAGACAGTTTGATGCGGAGCGAGAGCATACAGTGTTACTCTCAGCTGAACGAATATATTATGAGTTATGCTACGATGATCGCTATCCGCGAACACTACTGCCCCCTCCGCCTGCTCCGGGAGAACAGCCTACAACGGGCATATAAAAATCCGAAGCGGCCCGAGGTATAAATTCTGGCCGATCCAAACCCTCATCATGTTCTACCTCTCCAGAAATCCCATCTTTATGCAGACGGTAGTCAGCATCTTTTGTCACTTGCTGACAGCATTCCGAACCTACTGCACATACTGCTTGATCTGAATCCTCCTAATCTTCAGTGAAGGTGGTGCTACTTGATTTTGTGAACAGGTATGAGCCAAACACCCTAACTGTTTCTACTCAAGCTATGGAGTTACATGCAATTTCTTGCATCCATTCATTCTAGTAATCTTTCGTGCACAATGAATATCACATCACTGCCATCATTTGTAACTGTTCAGATACTCAATTGCAGTCGCTAACTTTGATGGCTTTATGTTCGGAGATTCCGCAGCTACATAAAGGTCTGTTGGTTGTCTTTTTCTGCTCATTGTTCGTGAGCCACTGGAAGAAGCAGCACAATACAGTCCGAGCAAGTTGCTTTCCTTCATCCGATCCATTCTCAGTCTTTGCAGCTAATGTTCTGACTATAAGATTCACCGAGCAGTTTTTGCATATCGAAGGAATACCTGATGAGCTCAAACTCCCCGAGATTTCACCTCAGGCCACCGAGCTGGCTTCCACATCGAGGAAACCTTGGTTGTTTTCTACTTCCTGGGAGCTTCAGGCTACGCCTCGATGAAATAGGTACATCTCTTCACGGACTAGGAACTACAAAACAGACTAAATATCTTCATCTGTTCGATTACCTCACTTGACCTGCTTCAGTAACAATTCTAGCTGTAGGCAGGCAGACCTTTTAGATTCTCTATCGTAGACTGTTTTTGACCTGTTTTTGCATAATAACTCTAAAGCACTTGAGATTCCTTAAAGATAAGTCTGATTTATTCAGGGTCATGGATAAAGATAACAACGTTGATCAAAACTCGAAGTCAAACTTTGTTGGTTTAACAAAGTTTGGAATACTGACACATTCGCAATTAAATAATCAGATAAAACGTACTAACGAATTGCATAGCTGTTGTCATAGGTCATAATAATTATGAAATTTGGTCAGATATAAGATTCTGAGTGTAAGAAATGGTTATCACAAGCCTGCTTTCAATACACCGAATTTTACTTTATGTTGGCAGTTTAGTTCCCAATAGCATTAGATAACGAAATGTATATAATTAAAATAGAACTCCAAAAATGAGCATCTGACTTTTGAGAAAATACATTTCAGTAAATAATGCCAGGAAAATTTCAGAAGTCTGACATTAGTTTAGTAAAAGAATAGAAAGTTTCTCGAATTTGAATTTTATTTTCATTTAAAATAGAACTTAAACAGAAATCTTCGATACTTAGGTTTAGTTCCAAAAAACTTGATATTTCACATTAAAAATCCTTCATTTAGATCACAAAACAAGGTTAAGTAATTGAGTCAATAAAACAATAAACATATAATAGGTTTCTCTTTATATGAAATGTACAGCTACTTGATATTTTACATTTATTTACAAAATCAAATATTATTCATAATTTTCAAACAAACGAAGTTGTTCTTTGCTATGATATAAATATTATCTGACATTTTTCACTTCATTTTCACACTTTCATTTTCTTATAATTGATTTGAAAGACTAAGATGAAAGGTTCTTTCAATAAAACTTGATTCTGATATCTAACAAGTGTATTGATATTCAGTAATGCTCACAACTGAAAATATATTGGCCTATGAATAATAAATCGTATTAAGATGATATTTTGAGATACCATAATGTTTGGGAACAAATATGCCTAGTATTCTACAAAATATTTTAAGCTTTAATAGTTTATCCAATTATTGGTAAATAATTGGGTAAACTAATACCCGTTTTATTCTTTCTTATTTGAAATAAATATCAAATTTTAAAAATATTTAAATCATGAAAAATTTGTTGTCTTTGAAATGATAAAAAAATACAGCTTTTAGAAAAGATGTGAATAATCTTTAAATACTTGTTATTGATTCAAATTTTGGTATTAAAGTTAGAATAAACAAAACCAAAGTTTTAGAATAAATTTATCATTTTGATAAATTATTTTTTTCCATATATTTATTGCTGTGCAAATATGCATCGTTATATAATTTACATCGCTGGCATTCTATACTCACGCACACAAAAGCGTATATACACAAATGTATCACAACTCGAGAATTTAATAGTGTAAACACCACCGTTTTATTATACAAACATCACACAAAATCAAACTTAACCCAATTCACAACTTAGAGATTCCAGACCATTGATAACGGAACACCATAGCCCGCCCACTGAAAGCTAGTCCCAACGCTAAAAGTCTCAACTCAAATAATTGAACGTTCTTCGAGTTTTGCTGACTATATACTCTCTGACGAGAATGAACCCTAACCATAGTACAAAACTAAATATAGACAGCACGTGTGAACATGACAATTGTCGTGCGAATATGTATCGTCATATAATGTACATTGCTAGCATACCATATTCACCGTCACACACACATAGGAAACGAGAGCGTACTGCAACCTACGAGCTGACTCTCACTCATGTTCACGTCAGATGGCTTTGCGATAGCTCATCATGTTTTTAGAAGACTATGATTAGTATTCATACTCATAGCCCAAACACCCACTCACACAATCACTCAATGTATCATTCTATTTCACACACATATCGACATTCTAAAGTACTGAAAATCATCACTCTTTCATATAAAAAACAAATCTCTACACATGAACTCTCCAAATTTGTTTCGGAAGTTATTCTCTACCTCTCTATATATATTATTTAAGAATTTACTATAATAACAAATGGTAGTTTCTATCTATATTACTTTTACAAAGATATCTTTCAAGGGATAATCTACAACATGCTGACAACTCGATTCTGCTTCAGCAAATATGTGGACAAGAATACAATATCATGAATATGTCGCCTGATTTTAGATTAGGTCCTTGGTCCTATTGGCTACCTCAGACCTACTCTGATAGGCTCCACACGTGCTCGCTACCATAGATATCCTCTATAGTCTCCATAACAACCTCTATAGACGCATCTTCTCCTTGCTCCTTCTAGAAAAAAATATTGCAATACTTTTCAACGAGCCTCAACCAGAAACTTCTAGGCGCATTAAGCTCTACTGAAGCTTCAAGATTGCATTCAAAATATTTTTCATACTAGAGTCTGAAGTCTAAACCCTCACCGGCACGCAAAATTCTCCTCCCTAAGGACCAGACCTGATCAAGTGCCGATCTTTCTACACTTCCAACAAGCAAACGTTCTCTGATTTTACGGTTCACATGTGACAAACCACAACAATTCTTGCCTCTAGCATATCAATCCCACTTACACGGTTGGATCAAGATCAACTCTCTACGCTCCGCAGAATTTCAAATACCAGACTCTTTAGACCTTTAAACTCCAAACTCATATATACCAAGTACGCTTTCATCTTACGCACATTCTCATAGGGGAGTCTCCTCTGAAATATGAGCCGAGTTTAATGTGATCTCTCCTGTTCACAAACTTCACTTTTATTTTGAGAAGTCAGCAAACCTTAAGCTTGTTGTCATCTCTCAGAAGTGAGAAAGAACTAGAGGTTGAGAAGCTTCAATTCAAAATTCTCCACTTCTGTACAACAAAACTTTCAAATCATTTTTCTGAGGTTCTGCGAACTACAGAAGAACAAGATCGACAGAAGTATTCATAAACGAAGCCAAATCTTTGACATATACTACCAGCTAGGCCCATTGATGGAGGGATGAGGTTACTCTCGTCAGTTTATATACTGAACACTGTTCCGAACCATGCAAAACAAAAAGCTCTCGACCTACTTCCTTCCCGTACTTAGAGAGGGTGATTAGAGTTCAGATCAAAGTACCCTACAGACTTGGATAAAAGAAAATAGCAGTTGTAAATAACTTCTTCTCAGGTTTCCTATTCAAACAGATAGTCACCCATCTTCTCCTCAACAGTATTGCATTCTCCACCTGTCATTGGGTGCTCGTATATACCAATCACCAAAGCGCTATTTGTCTGCTTGATTGTCATTCCTGTTTGTTGCTTCTTTAGTAGTTTTCAGCTTTAGTATTTTGTAGCCAATTGCTCATTCTTGTCACATGCTAGAAAGGATTCAATTTAAAAGGTTTTGTTCTTCAGTGTGTCTTTGATTTCCAAGATTTCTCCAGACAGTGGAGCCATTACATCATTGACGGCCTTCCATCCTTACGGGTTACACCAACATTTGAGCTTCTGCATGTACCTGTACTATATGGGAAGAAATAGCACGATTCAGCTTGAATACACAGACTCCAAAAAATCTTTACTTCAAGTAGCCAGGAAACCCCCAGCACTGCCCGCGGTTTCCAAATTCAATGCAACAAGTGGGCAGTGATATTACGACTCCTCCTTGGAAAATTCCCTAAGCGCACCACGTTCATGGAGCAAGGATCTTCCATACCGATAAAACTCAAAACTTGAATGTGCAGCGAAGGCACAATGTTATACATACTGGCCTGCGTAATATTAGCATTTCGTACTCTCGCATTTAACTTGCAGATGTTGCTGCAAAGCTTCACCTTCAATCTGCCACCATAAATTACATCTAACTCCATCTCTCTATCTTTCTCTTCCTCGTCACAGCAACAACATCCCTTTCCCTTGCGACTGATCAAACTTCTTTCCTGCAGCCCCTTTTATCACCAACTTAACAATTTGTCCACCTATAGTAAATGAAGCATGCGCTGATACAGCGCTACAAAACAAACACGAACTCGGTTTTTATCATGCAAACTAAGCTTGGAAGTGAAAACTATCGTGCACTTACCAGCAATAACCCCAATTGCTTCCAAAATCTGGCCCGCTACAAGACGACTTCCAAGAGTAGTCTCTATTCATTCACATATTTGGACCGATCTACAAAAATTGAATTTTGATTAATTGCTCTCTTGATTTTGGCTTCCTCCAAACTTAATTTCTGTTAACACTAACAGCAGCCTTCTACCGACGTTCCAAATCTGATTATCACCTCTGCATCCTATAAACCTCATGATACTCCCTTCGAAATACAATTCAACCTCCTCAATTCTATGTATCTCCTACCGAATTGATACAAATTGCAACTTTAAGAAAACCGTGGAACACTGAAACCAGCACAACCAGAAATTGCCAAATGGAAAAAATCCAGTGAAGATGAGTTATTCGAGTGAATTCAATAGTGTAAACCCCATTGGTTTAGAACAAAAATATCATAAAAAATCAAGCCAAGCTCACTTCACAATTCCGGAATTTCATGCCAATGTTATTTGTGAGCACAAAAATAACACACAACGTACAACATAACCAATGCTCATGTTAGTTGGTTATGTTGTACGTTAATGCTCATGCATTTTTGTGCTCACATTACGAGCCTTAGCTATCTAACCTTATCGAGATCCATCTGTATGAGTAGACGTCCAACAAAGACTTGTTCTTTGGCTTCATGTGCATGACAAGTCTTGTAGCTCATAAATGTCACATAAACATTCACATGTCGGAAGATTGCGCACGTAGGTGACGTTGTCGTAGTCGCTAATTGGCAACGAATGTGCATTTGGGTAATTACGGTCTGAAATTTACTTCAGTTAATCACATGCCTACTTTCACGTCATGACATTGTAGACTTGTTCTGACGGACTGCAATTCTGACAGCCAAGAAAGGCGACCGTATTCTTTATTTACTGGATATCAAAACATTCACCTCATCTTCGGTCGGTGCAGCCAACAGTATTATTTATCTAGTAGTTTGCAGTCCCAGCTTTTATGAGTGCATAATGTCTGGATCACACAATGTTGGTTTTACGGCTAAGAAGAGTTTTCATTTTGAATAAAGTCTGGATCCAATTAGCGATAATTAATTCTTGTAAAA